TGTACCTAGACAACCCAAAAGAGTCCACCCCAAGATTGCTAGAACTCATACAGCAATTCGGCAGTGTGGCAGGAAACAAAATCAATGCCCAGAAATCAGTGGCATTTCCATACACTAACAATGAAACTGAAGAAAGAGAAATTAAGGAGTCAATCCCATTTACAATTGCACCCAAAAGCATAAGATACCTAGGAATAAACATAACCAAAGAGGTCAAAGATCTATACCCTAAAAACTACAGAACACTTCTGAAAGAAATTGAGGAAGACACAAAGAGATGGAAAAATATTCCATGCTCATGGATTGGAAGAATTAATATTGTGAAAATGTCAATGTTACCCAGGGCAATTTACACATTTAATGCAATCCCTATCAAAATACCATGGACTTTCTTCAGAGAATTGGAGCAAATCATCTTAAAATTTGTGTGGAATCGAAAAAGACCCCGAATAGCCAGGGGAATATTGAAAAAGAAAACCAGAGCCGGGGGCATCACAATGCCGGATTTCAAGTTGTACTACAAAGCTGTGATTATTAGGACAGTGTGGTACTGGCACAAAACCAGACACATAGATCAATGGAAAAGAATAGAGAATCCAGATGTGGACCCTCAACTCTATGGTTAACTACTATTCAACAAAGCAGAAAAGACAATCTACTGGAAAAAGGACAGTCTCTTCAATAAATGGTGCTGGGAAAATTGGACAGCTACGTGCAGAAGATTGAAACTAAACCATTCTCTTACACCAGACACAAAGAGAAACTCAGAATGGATGAAAGATATGAATGTGAGACAAGAATCCATCAAAATTCTAGAGGAGAACACAGGCAACGCCCTTTTTGAACTTGGCCACAGCAACTTCTTGCAAGATACATCTATGAAGGCAAGGGAAACAAAAGCAAACATGAATTATTGGGACTTAATTAAGATAAAAGGCAAGGCTTCTGCACAGCAAAAGAAACAGTCAACAAAAATAAAAGACAACCTACAGAATGGGAGAAGATATTTGCAAATGACATATCAGATAAAGGGCTAGTATCCAAGATCTATAAAGAACTTATTCAACTCAACACCCAGGAAACAAACAATCCGATCATGAAATGGGCAAAAGACATGAACAGAATTCTCACAGAGGAAGACATAGACATGGGCAACAAGCACATGAGAAAATGCTCCGCATCACTGGCCATCAGGGAAATACAAATCAAAACCACAATGAGATACCACCTCACACCAGTGAGAATGGTGAACATTAACAAGACAGGAAACAACAAATGCTGGAGAAGATGTAGAGAAAGGGGAAGGAACCCTCTTGCAGTGTTGGTGGGAATGTGAACTGGTGCAGCCACTCTGGAAAACTGTGTGGAGGTTCCTCAAAGAGTTAAAAATAGACCTGCCCTAAGACCCAGCAATTGCACTGTTGGGGATTTACACCAAAGATACAGATGCAGTGAAACGCCGGGACACCTGCACCCCAAAGTTTATAGCAGCCATGTCCACAATAGCCAACCTGTGGAAGGAGCCTCAGTTTCCCTCGAAAGATGAATGGATAAAGAACATGTGGCATATGTATGTTACTAAGCCATTAGAAATGACAAATACCCACCATTTCCTTCAAGGTGGATGGAACTGGGGGTTATTATGCTGAGTGAAGTAAGTCATTTGGAGAAGTACAAACATTATATGGTCTCATTCATTTGGGGAATATAAAAAATAGTGAAAGGGAATACAGGGGAAAGGAGAGAAAATGAGTGGGATATATCAGTGAGGGTGACAGAACATGAGAGATACCTAACTCTGGGAAATGAACAAGAAGTAGTGGAAAGGGAGGCAGGCAGGGGGATGGGGTTACTGGGTGATGGGCACTGAGGAGGGTCCTTGATGGGATGAGCACTTGGGGTTATGCTATATGTTGGCAAATCGAACTCCAGTAAAAAAAATATACAAAAAAAGGATTAAGATCACAATCCATTTCCTTTTGTTTCGTGTGCTTTTGTGACCCCATTGTTTTAACTTTTTTGTTATCCATTCTCTCTATGGCAGCAGAAAGACTGCCCTCCTAGTATAGCTCATTAACCCTAGTAGTTAGTATCTCCAGTTTGGATTGCATCTCATTTCATTGATTTTTAATTTCAGCTTGATTAGACCTAAATTCTGCAGTCATGAAGTCTCTTGAATCTTTTATGCTTTTTTTCCAGAGCCACCAGAAGCTTTATAATTGTGCTTCTGAATTGGTTTTCTGACATCGAATTGTAATCCAAATTCTATAACTCTGTGGCAGAGAGTACTGTTTCTGTTTCTTTCTTTTGTGGTTAGTTCTTCTTTCTAGTCATTTTGCTCAGTGCAGAGCAGCTAAAAACGAGTTGTACTTGTTAGAAGCACAAACTCTTTTCTGTTGCGTTCCAGCTGTTCTGTCTTTAAATCTCAGGTTGAATTCGTAGGTTTTCAGGATGATTTGAAAGTTATCTAGGTAAGTTGGTGGGGACAGGTGACTCGGGGCCCTATTCCTCTGCCTTCTTGCCCAACGCGCCCCCCTGCCCCGATCTTAATCCTTAACCCAAAGCTGCACTGGGTGCCTGGAAGATAAACATCTAGGCAGGTCCTCATAAGGCAAAAATATCAGAGCTAGTGATGGCAAACATCAGGCTCAGAATATAGGGGTTGCCCTTTCATCTCCTAAGTAATTTCCTGTGGCCTCAGTTGTGTCCGATTTTGATTGAGTAGTTATGTGTTTTATACACAAGATGGAGAATAAGTATTGCAATGGACATGGAATTAATTTGGGAAGCATCCTATTTCTCAGCCATAGACAGCAGCAACCTAGAGGCTGCCCAGGAGATGCAGGTCTGAAGGGCTGTTTATTCACTTATGTGCTGATGAAAGCAAACAAGGTCTGCACCTACATTTGAACTCCTTCCTTCCACTATGCCTCTAGGCCTCAAGGAAGGGTTCACCTCTGAACACCTTCCAGAACTGACTCTGAAGGACTTTCCTCATATCAATAATCCTCCATATCCTCCAGATCCCAATAGGTACCCTATATATTAAGGAGGGGATCTCTGACCTAAAGAAGAAAATTCTTGCATCTGAAAGGTTATGTCTTTCCCAGGTATTTTTACCTGACATAATGTACTTTTATAATTAATGATTATTTTACACATCATATACAATATATCAATACAGAGAGACACACATGCAATATATTTTCTTGGAAATAAAAATCTTTATATTTCTTTTCTCATTTAGTATCTTATCTCAATGTTTGCAAATGTGTTTTTATACTTATTGTCTTTGAATAGACTTTCATGGATGTGTTGGGCATTACTATTTGTTTAATGAGAATTTTAGATTTATCTCCATATCTGATTTCTCTACAGTTTCTTTTAAATAGCAAGGATATTTAAATCAGGTATGCATGAGAAGAATTTATTGTTAAAATGTTTTTCATGTGCTTTCTAATGTAGTTTTTATTCAAACAGGTTTCTTTTCAATATCTGTATATGGCTAAGAAACTAATATAACTGCAGTATAAAAATATTCTGACTAAAACATTGGGAACAGAGACCAGTCTCCAGCTCAGCTTTATTTTCTCATTTAGTACATTGTCTAAACATTTGAAGATATATTTTTCTAGGTTACTGTGATTGGATGGATTTCATAAATATCTTGAGTATTCCTAATGATCTTATTAACAATTTTAATATCAGTTTCCTTTCTCTCTACTTATGTCTTTATGTGTCAATGTCAGTAATATATGAAGACAAGTCTTTTCTCCTCAGGTTCTCTTGTGCTCTTTACTGCTGTTTTTCCCTAAATGGATTGTTGCTAAATTTGAATAGATTTGTATGCCTAAGAAGGAATACTGTTCTCTGCCTAAAGCTATTTGACTAATACACTAGGGGCACAGAAAAGCATCCCCAGGTATGACAGAGTGAGAGAGAACATGCCCCACTGTGGTAGCCACACAGCCACAGGGCACACACATAGCCTGGGCGTTAGAGAGGTCCAGTTTTTGAGCCTCTACCCTTACTGTTTTCCAAGAGTCACTGAGCCTCTTTGACTCTCCTTTTCTTTCTCTGTGGACCAGTGATCAAAATACAGGCCTCGAATGGATTTTTCATAGATTCAACATAACATGCTATGTCACTATTTATTAAGAAGAGAATCAAGGATCCTGAGTGGGAAAATCCTGAGACACAACTGGTCTTTGAGCGGATTAGTGTCAGTTAAACGTTGGCTTCCCAGCCCCAAGCAAACCTCCCACTCAGTCAACTAACTCAGGCTACAGAAAAAAGACAACAAAGATGATGAAGATGAAGATGACTACATCCAAGAGTTTCTTGTCAGGGCTGCGTTCTCAGGATCCTGGATGAGCCTGGGTGAGGGCCTCCTTTGGGATTGTGTGCTTGGCCTGGAGGGAAGTGAAGAGAAGGAGTTGGGAGATCAGCAGAGCCAGGAGCCCTGAGTTTCATCCCCAGGCCACCCAGTTTCGGCTCATTTGGCCTGAATTCCTCAGCCTCACCTTGGGCCAAGTGAGAACCTCCGTAGTCCCACTGGCTGTCATGAAGTTACCTAGTGTGGAGAAAGCATAGGTGATATCCATTAAAACTAAAGCAGACACAATCTAACTGCACAGTACCATTTCCCAACCTATGCAAAAGAAACATGCCACCACATTTATCACAATGTAGGCAATGGAATGAACCCTGTGGCACAGTGAGCACTGGGAAAAACTCCTGAAACCAAAATGTTTGTCAATAAAGGCACAGGTCCATGGATTTAGGAAAGTAAAACAACAAACAAAATGAAGCTAGCTAGGAAGGAAGGAAGGAAGGAAGGAAGGAAGGAAGGAAGGAAGAGCTCAGCTTATAAGTAATGAAAGGATAATGTTCAGGGTGATAATTAGTGAAATAAATGAGCAAAACAAATTACCTGCAAGTTGACATGATTCAATCTTGGTTCCTCCCAGCTCCCTCCTATCCCCATGCACCCCCAACACTCACTTCTGAAGCCACTGGAGATTCATCCCAGACTGAGTGGAGAAAGTCTGTACCACTTCCTGCTGCTTCTGGCAGAGGGTGGGCCAGGAACTGCAGGAGCGTGCGGGCACTGGGATAGAGAATGTGCTCTGAGTTTCCTTGGGGCTGGCGTCCCTCACAAACAGGTCATCATTCATGATGCACAGGCTGAAGGAAAAAAAATGGGACCTTAGAAACTGGACAGATAGACAACCCCACACCCCAACAACGATCCTGCTCCCACTGCCACTCAGAAACCAGATTCTTTCCATACCCCTATTGGGCACGCCACCCAGGTTCCTTGGCCGGTACCTCTATTTTTCCTTCACCCCTCAGAGAGCCAAACTTTAGAGAGATTGTCTAACCAATTTCACTACATTTATAGGTTTATCCCCAAACCACGGACAATTTTACGTCCATATTTACCGAACACACCTGCCAAGGAGTGGACGGTCTAATCTCCATTTTCAGAGGAAGACACTGTGTCACAAAGAGATCATGTGACTTGGCAAAGGTCACAAAGCTAGTGAGTGTGGGGATCAGGGAAAGAACCCATAATCTGATTTCAGAGCCAATGCTCTTAATCACTAGGAGACATGATTCCTTGGATGTACCTGATGGTTTTTCACAATATTGAGAACACCCCAAAGACTGTACCTCCCCATTCCCATACCCCCGAACTCATACTGAACTGGGTGTTACACCCACAACAAAGCACTCACCTGTAATTGCTGACAGGGGTAGCGATGAAGGTCCGGGTGAAGGTGCGAACAGAATCCTGAGACATTCCTTCCACTTCAGCAACACACAACAATACCCCCTTAGCATCCCACATGTTTACATACTCACACAGCATTCCCCAGTCAGGGTCTGAGTTGATATTCATGCTGAAGGGGACACTTGTTCCCTGGGGAGTCAAGGTGTTCTGGATGGGGAAGGCAATCTATTCCCTGTGACAGGGACTCTACCAGTGACAGGGACCCTATCAAGTGCATTTGATGCACTTTTCACAGCTGCTCAAGAGATAGGCATCATTAGCTCCATTAGCAAATGAGGAAACTTATAGGTTAAGAGCCCAAGGTCACAGAGTAAGGATCTAGGATGAGAGCCGTCAAACTCCACAGACCGTGTCCCTAATGCCCAGACTATGTGGGGCAGACAGGCACAGACCTAGTTCAGACCAGGATGATTTGAGGGCAGAGTGGAGATGGGAGAACATAGGAGGAATAGGAAGGGGAGGGAAGGCACCAGAAAAGCTGGGAGAGTTCTGAGAGGGAGCCCAGCTAGCAGTGGGGAGAGCAGTGGGGGCGTCTGGGGAGGAGGTTCTACACACACGCACCTTCCTTGAATACCCCATTGACGGAGAAGCAGATCATCATCTCCTGAAAGAGAAGAGCCCAGGTGCTAAGTCACCTAAACTTTCTACCCACCTGTGGCTTTCTGGGGTTGCCCGAGGGAGGAGACTGATGCTCACCGTCTGGAACCACATGTCCACCACGAAGAAGCTGAGGTCATGCTGAGTTTTGGGCAGCACACAGAGGGAGCGCACGATGTCACACTTTGTATGCTTCAGCAGCTGAACACGCAGGGCTATGAAGAGAGGAGAAAGGAGCAAAGGTCAGGGGTTGCCACACCCGGGACCCTATAATTATCTCCTCACACCCCCTTTCCCTGTCCAGTATTCCCCATCACACACGCACAGGGGTCCTTAAGTTTCTTCAAATTCCTGCTCTCCTTGAAGTATTCACACAAGCTGCTTCTAGGAGAGAAAAGGGAACAAGAGGTGGTGGTCTGGCCAGTGTGAGTGTTTCCAGGAGCTGCCCTGTGTCTGCTGGGGAGCCACAGGGCCCAGGAGCAGAGTCTGAGTTTTGCTACTCACAGGGCTGGGTCCTTGGGGTTGAAGGGAGTGGTCAGGGAGAAGCAGGCCTCATCGTGGTAGGCACTGAGGAGACCCTGACGGTCTCCAGAGTCGTCGATCAAGTAGTACCTGCGGGGGGATGGAGGGTGGCAATGAGGATAGTCTATCTCTGTGGTCTAGACCCCAAATGAGATTTCAAGACCCAGTCAGCAGTCCTGAGCTTGGGTGACCTCACCCATCCTAGCCATCCCCTTCCCCAGATTCCCAGGAGTACTTACTGCAGTAGGAATTGCAGGATTAGACTCTTCAGTGCATCAGATCCAAAGAAGCTTCCCTGAAATCACAATGGTCCTCAGGACCATGGCTGAGACCCCTTCCTCACGCACCACCCAAAACCCTGCTTGATCCACCCTTCTCACCTTGCAGGTTGGTAACTTCTTGTGAGCTGCAATACCAATGCTGGTTGGTGAAGGCGACTCCTGGCTATCCTGGGAAAAGGAAAAGAGGAAGTGGGCAGTGTAGACCAGGAGCTGGTACTGGACAATCAGGGAAAGGATGGGCCCCAGAGAGGGTGAGGGTCAGAGGCCAGGTGTAAAATGGCCCTTGAAATTACATGGGCAAGACTACATTTGGGATCGTCGTCTTGAGGTCCCTGATGCCTGTGGAGAACGTGGTTGAAGGAGATCTGGAGCCCTTGTTGGGTTCCCACGCGAATCTGTACCTCCATGAGGTCTAAGGGTCATGAAAATTGTAACTTCTGCAAGACCTAAATGGCTTCAGGGCAGGTTGTGGGAAGCATCGGTGCCAGTAGAGAAGTCGATGATCAAGGAATACACCTACCAGGCATAATAACTTGGGAAACAATTCCAGGATGGAGCTGCATAAATCCAGACAAAATAGAAAAGTTAGTGAAACTTTCTTTGCAAGTGTCCTTCGTCATAGGAGCAAGCACACTTACACCTGACTCACAGCCCAGTATGTCCCACCTACACCACAGTGTCCCAGCCTTCCGGGGCCCTTGGCACCTCCACTGTGGATTGACCTATAGGGAAAGCATACACTCTCTTCCCCTCCTCTCTGATTCCATTTCTCCACCCCACCCCCTCCTCCCTCTCTTTCCCCCTGGGCGGCTCCCACCTAGACTGCCCTGACTCCCTTCTCCAGTGCCACCAGAAGCAACATTTGGAGCTCAGGCTCCAGGGCTGAATTCCCCTCCCTGCCTCCCTTCTTTCCTTCAGATCCCTACCGAAGACTCCAGAGAGAAGAGGGAATGGGGTGGGCGCCCAGGACTCTGCTACCTCACTAGGGGTCCAGCATTCTGCAGCACTATGACCCCCACCACCACCACCACCGCCAAGGGATGGCCCAGGATGCTGGGGCATGGGAGTGAGTGAGGCAAGAGCCAGGAGGCAGGGAGGGAGAGGGAGGGAGATAAAGACAGAAGAGGGGGGAGAAGGTAGGAGGAGAAAGGCGAGAGAGACATAGGAGAACCAGAGACTAAGAGGAAGAGAAAGCAAAACAAAGGGAAGGGAAAGAAGCTCTACCATGGTGGCGGGGGTCAGGAAGGAAGAGAGAAGGAGGAAATGGCCCCATGGCTGCAGCCTTTTCCTTCATCCGCCCTGGCTGGCCCTAGCACCCAAGGTAGGAATGGAAAACATGCAGGTGTTGGGCTGGGGGCCCATTGGATGCTGGTTGAAACTTTGTCACCTGTGTGAGCTCAATCCAAGCTGGGCATGGGGAACAAGGCAACCATAGGGGCAGGAGACCTGTCCCAGAAGGAGTAGAAGGTCAAGCCCCAGGTCAGCATGGCTGAGGTTCTGTGGCCTCCTCTTATGATCCCTGCTTTCCCTCCTGATGGCCCCTGTGCACCTGTGCCTGTCTCAGTTGGTTCCTAGCCTGAGGGATTATATCAATGTCGGGATCCCCAGGGCTCCTCTGAAGGACCAGTCGGGTTGATGAGATGTGTGGAAGGAGGGGAGGGGGAAGTGCCTCTGAGAGGCCTGTCTTTCATTATGCTCAAGCACTTCTGCCCTCTGCCTTCCATCCCTGCTTCAGGAAAGCCCTCAGCTCACTGGCAGTCACCCACTTCTGGCCCCCTGACTCAGGGAACCCTGGTGTCTCCCAGGGAGGGCCCAGATCTTGGCTTTGGGCCAGAGGAACAGGACCTCAGGGAAGAGCTCCCCAGGACCTCAGCCTTCAGCATAGGGCAGGAAAGCCATCATGGCTGCGTGGGATTGGGCGGGTTGGGGGGGGGTGCGGGCAATACATTTGGTTCAAGGAAAGGAGGCTCCCTCTCAAAACAAGGGAGGGAAACGCTGTCTCAGGAGGGAGTTGGAAGGCCTGTCTCAGCATGAGGCTCTGGGCTAGAGGGCCCTTCTCTGTCCAGGTCACAGCATGTGGTTCAAGGTGGTCATTCTGGTCCTAGTGAGGAAGGGGAGCCCTGCTTCATGGATCACACTTTGCAGAGGGCACGCTAGAGAAAACTGTGTGCAGATAGCCTGCAAACAGATCCCAGACCAGACAAACAGGTGAGCAGGTCAGAAGAAGGGAAGGAGACCTCTAAGCACAGGTGAGGGACAGAGGGAGGAGAGCATAGGGCCTCTGGTCCCCCCCCCAAAGGAACAGAGCTGCTGCCTCCTCCAAACAGGCACCATAAGGCATAGTTCAGAGTCCCATGGGGTGACATAGTGTACAACTGACCTTATGTTGGTTGATTTATCAGGAAAGGCGGTGCACAGGGAGCTTCTGTTGGCACTCATCTCTTCTGGCTGCAGGCTTTTGCTCTTGTCCAACTCCCCTGCGGACTTCACCTATAATTATAGGGAGGAAACAAATGGAGCAGAGAAAGATGGCCAGGAAGATCCTGCACCCGCAACCCTTCCCTTTTCCAACAAGTCCACTTCCTGACTCTTGTCACCACTCCGTGAGCACTCCTGCCTTCCTTTCAAAGAGGGATCTGGGTACCACACCTCACCTCACTGTTCAAGGGCTTAATACTGGAGGCATTCTGCATAATGCTGGATGGGCCATCCCACTGGTAAGGCTTCTTGTCGCTTCAGTTCAAGGGCAAAAGCTATGATGAGGAAAAAGTTAAAGTGAGGACCCCAACGGGGAATATCTGGGGCCAATGTGCCTCTTCTACCTAACCTCTCCCACTTCACCATCAGTCTCAGCACTGGGCCTGAGTCCTCACCTTGGAAATGTTCTTTCCATGGGTCTGCAGGGAGGCAGCCATGCTGTTTCTAGGATTCAGTACCATTGCAATATCATGGGTGATCAAGTCTCCGAGAAGCCCAGAGGAGGCAATCAGAAGGCTGAGGAGAGGCCCGGCTGGTACAGCTCTAGCTCCAACCCCTCCCCACGTTACCATCCCTATGTCTCCTTCCCAGACGGACCCCTCTGCCCTCACATGCCCTAGAATTACTGCTGTGGGCATACCAGAGGCATAGGGGACTCTCTGGCTCTTAAGAGGGTTCTGGGAAACTACGTATCATTTGTTCATGGTCAGCTGCAGAGTTAAGGATGGGGTCAGTGGCTCTGAGTTTGAGGTGGAGATGGGGGGGGGCAGAAGGTGTGGGAAGAAGATGTGGGTCTGGATGTGGATGCACAACTAGTCTTGAGTCTGCATTACCTTTGTCTGCTCCACCTTTTCTGACATCAGCTCCTTCTGCACAGAGTGGGGTGCATCAGAGGGGTAGACAAAGACAGAGACCTGTAGGGAACACAAGAGGGGCTGGGTAAGTACCAGGAAACCTGAGCCTTGGGATCATGCAAGACCTTACCCCTCTCTTGCCCTCCTGCCCCCAACTAGCCACAGTCATGCCCTTGGCACGCACCCTTTCATTATTCTCATCCCAGATCTTCCCGTTGACACTCTTCAATGCAAAGGCAATGCTGGCATGCTCAACAAAGAACTGGGCCTGCATTTTCTCATAGTGAAACTATAGGGAGAATGGCAAGAGAAAGATAATATGAGACCCAAGACACTGCTCATCTGCCCTGTTTCTTCTCATCTGCCTCACTGTCTTCTCTTACTTCAACTGGGGTGAAGGGGACACTGCATTGTCCCTGAATCAGATTCAGCAGCCACGTCTCTTCATATTTGATGCCAAATGGAATCTAGGAGGCAGAGATGGGAGAAGAGATTGACACAATGGAGTCCAAGGTTAAGAGAAGGTTAGGGAAGACCATTGTCTTCGTCTCATACATTTTTTTGGGGGGCGGGGGGCTTTAAAATAATTTCTTCTGATAGGACATTATCCATTATTGCAAACGTTTGTACCAGACATGGATTTCCTTTCCATTCAAACGCTTCTCTTCAAATAATCAACTTAAGATGTTTAACATGTACTTCCTTTTATAAAGTTCCAAGTGATCCTAGCTCAGGGCAGGGTGCCTTAGCCTGCCTCTCCAACGGGGACACCAGAGACTCAACCTCCCCCCACATTCAGCTAGAGCTAAACTGAGCCTTCCGGTGTGGAGTTGCTCCATCTCCCTGGCTGTAGTCTCCTCTGCTCTTAGACAACCTACCGGATTCTCCCTGTAGTCCCTTTATATTGCTTCTCTGAGTCTGCCCTTACTTGATCTAGGATGTTAACTCCTGTTAATAAAAAGACTGCTTACCCACTCTTCTGCCCCAGAAAAGTACCCAGCATATCTACATGAGTCCAACACAATTTCCTCTGTTCACCTTCTTCTGCATATTAGGCCCCTTTTGCCAAGACACTCACTATGATCTTGAACCAGCTCCCCGAGGTCTCATCCTGCCTCTCCCCCTCCATTTTTCTCTCTGGAGGCTTTTGCTCTCCCTCCATGTTAGCTTGGACTTGGTCTTGTTTCTGAAAATTGCCTCTCCAATGACATGGTGGAATGGCATAGGGAGTGCTGTGGGCAAGTGGAGAGAAGAAAGTAGTCCACATGTGCTCAGAAAGTCTTCTATTACACATTTTCCCACTGATCCCAGGGTACAATAAAGTTTGCTCAATCATTATCCTGATTCTATCATTCTTCACTCTTCCAGGTTGGAGAAGAGACTGACGTATTCAACTACAAGGCTATGTATTCCACTGGCTGGTACATTTCAGCTATGCTGACTGGTCACTTACTATCTTACTCGGGTGCTCATGTGAGTGCCATTTGTTGCTGGATCTCCATCTTGCTGCTGGTGGGATGAAGGACGAATGCCAGAACTGACTTGTTCAGACCAGTTGTTATATCTCCTTCGGTAAATACTCCAGCATCTTGCTCTTCTTTGCAAGGAGTTACCTACGTTATTATGCCCTGAAATTGAGAACAACACGTCAGTGGTCCCAAATGCCACAAAAGGTTCTGGGGAAATACCATGGCTAATGAAGAAATATCACTGACTTTTATCATCCAAAAACAAAATAGGGCACAGTGCCAAAAAGGTTGAAAAACTTCACTGCGGTTCCCTTTCCTGGGAGGATGAGACGTGGGGAGCATTTGCAGCCATGAAGAAATAGAGCACAGAGGAAAGGGGTTGGGCCTGGGGTTTCATCTGTGATGTTAGCCCCCTGCTCTGCCCTTTTCAGGCTAGGTGACCTGGGACAAGTTGCCTAGCACCTCTAATTCACAGTTCCCTCCTCTGCCTTGGGGGATAACAAAGTCCACCCTGAAAGTTTGGTGTTATGGTTCAAGGGTCAAGGGTGAGTTCCCACCTGAAGAAAGAATTAGAGAAGTGAAAGTTAGATTTAATGAAAATATCCAGAATAGCCTGGAGAGACATCATATGGATAATACCAGAAGAGAGAGGAGAGAATTAAATGAGATGTAGTGGGCATATCTAACACATGCTTCATTTGAGTCCCAGAATGAAGGAGAGGGAAACGTGGAGAAGTGGCATTTGAAGAGATCTTGCTTGAGAACCTTCCCAAAGTAACGGGATAATCAAGTCAGTATAACAATACTAAGAGGAGACAAAGTATGCTTTAAGGAAAAACATTCCTAAAGAAAAGATGTACATTTCACAATGATGTTAATGTAGCAAAACTGGGAAAATTTGTCACCAGAAGACTCAGACTAAAAGAAATATTAAAGGTTCTCCTTCAGGCAGAAGAAATATGATCCCACGTGGAGGCACAGAGATGCAGGAAAGAAAGACTAATGAATGGCATTTGTGAATACGTAGGCAAGTCTAAATGAGTATCGACTATATAGCACCATGAGGCTAATTTCTTCTAGGGGTTTAAATACACGTAGAATTAAAATTCATGGCAATACCTTGGGAGGGTGTGAGTGGAATCAAAGTGTTTCAACGTTCCTTCACTGTCTGAATGAAGAGCTTTAAAGAAGTAATTTACATCAGACCGTGAAAAGGCAAAAAAGTACATTATGGTATTAAGGGTAAATACTATGAGAATGTTTAACTGTCCAACCAAATAAGGTAACAATTTAATACTAATATAGGGGTGCCTGCCTGGGTGGCTTAGTTGGTTAAGTGGTCCAATTTTTTTAAAAGATTTTATTATTTATTCATGAGAGAGAGAGAGAGAGAGACAGAGACAGAGACAGAGAGACAGAGAGAAAGAGGAGGGGTGAGGGGAGGGGCAGAGTGAGAAGGAAAGGGAGATCATCTCGAGCAGAGTCCACGCTGAGCATGGAACCCAAGGCGGGGCTCTCTCTCACAACCCTGATATCATGACCCCAAGATCAAGATGTGAGCTGCAACCAAGAGTCGTGGCTTAACTGACTGAGCCACCCAGGTGCCCCAAGGGTGCGACTCTTGATTTTGGCTCAGGTCATGACCTCAGAGAGAGCCGTTCTCTCTCTCTCTCCCTCTCCCCTGCCCCTCCCCACCTCTCTTTCCCTCTAAAAAAATACTAAATAATTTCAAGGAAAGGAGAGGAAAAGGGCCTTACAACAGGCAGAAATAAATGTGCAGTTAACACGCTGTATAGAAATCAAGTTATACCTATATTTACATTAAAAGTTTCAGACTGGATATTCCAAATAGAAAACCAGATATTATGAACCTAGAAAAAAAAAATTCCATCAAATGCTCCTTAAAAGAGACACATGCAAAGTTTAATTGTCTAGAAAATTTGAAAATAAAACTAAAACAAGGCAAAATGTGTACCATTTACACACTAACGTACTGCAAGCTGGTGTAACCATATTACTAAAGGGAAAGGTATTAATTCAAGGGGGAAAAACACTGCTAAAGAAAAGAGGGATGTTTCATTATTATAAAAGTTTCAATGTAAAAAGGAGCCATTAGTACAAAATTCTAAATTTGTGTGCGTGTCTTAACACAGAGCCAAAACGTGCAAAGCAAGTGATCACAGTAAAAGGAGAAATGGATAAATTCACCATTACAGTGGGAAACATTAACACACCTCCTTGAGTGACCTATAAAATGGCAGACATAAATTCCACTAGGTGGAGATTTTAAAATGAGAATTAAGTAAACTAACAAATTTACTTAATTGGCGTGGAACAGGGCACATAACCACTACACGTGGAACATTCCAGAAGAGGTCATATGCTGGGTTATAAAACAAACCTCAAGAAACTTCTATGGGGGTAATACAGTCTACCCTGAATAGTTGATGTAAGAGTCAAGGGTAATGGTGGGTGCTCTGCCTGTCCCCAGCCTCTAGCAGGCATCCAGAGAATGTTAATTTATACCAACACCCCCTCCCATTTGCCTCCTACCTCACCAACCTAGGAGACCCTCCCCACTCTCCAAACTCTGGACCTGTGAAGACCACATAAATCAGGTCTATCCCCTCAACCAGTGAAGAAAATTCACCTCACCCATGACCACTTCCATAGGAGGGGAAGTTTTCCATGTGGAATGGAACCAGGATGGGAACGTCAGGGCCCACTTAGCCCATTTCAAGAGAGTGGAGAATAGTCAGCCTGGGCCACTCCACCCTTCCTCTAAAAGGGGGTTGGCTGGGTGTCCTGTGGGGTGATGTGGTTTGGGAAGGGGCCCAGAACCCCTCATACCCTCTGGGGATCTGAGACCAAGGCCTCATGCTGACCAACTTACCCATGGTGTGGACTGAGGCAGTGATCCGTCACCAATGTCCTCCCGGTTTGCTTGTGAAGAGAGTCCGTGGGGTCTGGAGCTGGAGGTTTGGAGATCAACGATGGCTGCTGAGGAAGGGGAAGGGAGGTCCCGAACCCCTTTGTCAGCGCCACACAAGCAAGATGGAGTCCTTACGGGAAGTCCCTTCCTCAAAGGCATGGAGAAAACCTCAGGCGCCCGAGGCGACTTTACTTCTTATAATTACTGTCCCCTGAGTTTGCTACCAGCCTACCAGGGAACTGTTTCCAACTGAATCTGCCCTGCAGAAAAGGCCAACTAGAGTCAGGAGGGGTGGGACCGGACCCAGGTACTTATAGCTACAAACACAGGGGACTCTGTATGCCAGACTCTGTATCCACTGCAATACATCTTGTTCCCTCATTCTGTGAACCCAGAGAACTCTGAGTGCCAGCTGTAGGGCAGACTCTGGACTTGTTACATTGCATCTGCTCTGTCATGTATTCCTTAACAAGGGGACTCTGATATCGCAGTCACCAGCTTTTCGAGGTTTCTTGAGGTTTAATGAGGTGCCAGAGCTTGTTTGGGGTCATTCAGATGCTACTTGGAGAAACAGAGCTGCAACTCAGCTCCACAGAATGGCGGTGACATGTCCATGCATACGTAGCCTAGCTAAATTCTTGCTTCAATATTGGGATTTTTTTTTTTAAGTTAGAGCAAAATGACAGAATATTCTGAAAATAATTACATGGCTGGCATCGTCTCCACCTCATTCCAGAGAGATAATAGCAAGCAAACACACACACACACACACACACACACACACACACACCAGCCAAAACCAAAACCAAAACCATAAAGCAAAACACACACATAGCAAACCTGGAAACTATAAAGGAGATAGCAAACAGAGTTTGGTGGGTCACTGTAATGAGAGTAGAATGAAACAAATTGTGCCTTTTCCTTTACAAAAAAAAAAAAAATACAGTCAGTGTAGTGGTCAGAGCCAGAACTGTAGCTCTGAAAGTCTCTGACTAGAGGGCTTTGCAAGGCAGAAAGAAGGAGGGAGGCGCTCGGGCTCCGGTGCATTAGCCAGAACTTTCCAGAATTTTCCACTACCTTTGGAATGTTCTACTCTTTGTCCACAATCCCTTTCTGGATCTCCATGCCCTGAGAGAGAAAATTCAGTCCCTGGGAGAGGTGAACAAAACTCTGCACAGGAGAGCGTGAACATTTGGGGTAAGGGAAGGGTAAGACAGAAACACACACATATACAGATAAACTGTCAAATCAAAAGCTGAAGTTTGTATTTGTTTATTAAGCAGTATCATGGGAACATTTTCATAACATGGTAAATACATGTGAACTTTTCTTGTGAATTGGTTATTAGATATTTTCAAGTGTTCCCCTCAACAAATTTGCCTAATTGCAAAATGCTAAACATTAAAAATGTATACTTAGAAAATGAAATCATTCTGCACCTTCCATCTATATGATCCCCTCACTCCAACTCACAGGTATCCAAGATATCCGACGTAAATAGATTGGTGCACATTTTCCAGAGGTGTTTCTGTTTAGGTAGTGTGTACACCTACCTTAAAATATTTGTGTACTTACGTGGCTACAGATACATACTTTTAAAAATTTGCAATCACATAAATAATTTTCTGCAAATTGATTTTTTCACTTACTTATTACAACGTCTCCAGATTGCCATTTCTTCAGTTGATGCAGTGTGGCATCTTTCCAGACGTTTACTGGAGAAGCATTTTGCTTTTTACGTAAATTATTTGTTATCATTTGTCCCTTTCTCCACTGATAAACAAAAGTCCTTCATTTTCTAGCCCACTAGCACAAATTCTGTAATATTGTTTGCAAATATTCATTCCTACCTTTTCAAGCTTTTAACTTTTTTTCTTTTGGTAGTACAGACATTGCTTTAGCTTTCATGGTTTTTCTTCATTTAAAAATAATATAGCTATGACAGAAAACAAAACAAAAAATACTTAGGGTTGCATCAAGTACTAGCCCAATGGGAATTCTTCATTCAAAGCATTGAAGGCTTCAGGGCACAATGGAAAAAGGCCTCACACCTAATTCTACATGTGTAAATAATGGGGAAAATAACTGAATACTTGTCAGGTTATTCGAGATACCATGTAGGGAGCCTCTGGCTTAAAATAATTCTGTAAATGATCATTTCCTTCCCTCCGTGGAGGTTACTTTTCCTCTGCTTCTGCTTGGGCCCCACACACCACCCCAGCACAGTGTTATCCATGTGGACCTCTCTCCAGGCCTCCAGGCCTGAGGAATGGGATTTCACCTCCACCATCATCTTCAAGACAAAGACATTGGGGAAAAGACTGCTTGAGTGCCCTGTTAGCAGGACAGGAACACCTGGGGCATTCAAAACCAGATATGTGACCCAAGAAAAATTTTGAGCCCTGTTACAAACTTTATTGAACAAATTAAAGGGAAGTTAAATAAAAAAACAAAAACAAAAAAAACCTTCTCAATCCCAAACAGAAAGGTCACATGTAAAGAAATGCAAATTTAGGGGGAAAATGCATGGAATGTGTTTTAAAGGCAAATGTTTAATATTGTTGTATAAACAAATCTGATTGATAGAAGAATGCGGTTCAAAGTCCATTGAAATAATTCAAATGAGCACCATACATTACAAACATAAGATTAAACATGTACGAAAACAATTACACATGGGTGTATGTATGTTTGTGTGTGCATATATTTCCATATACGCATATACATAAATACACGTACAAAACATATGGAGAACAGTATATTGCGATCAAAATTTGGAATGATATATATGTTCACGTAAATATACTTATATATTACTGTACACAGGGAAGTATATCTGGGGAATATAAACAAAATTACCAAGGAAATACATCTTGCTGTGTAACAAGATAAAAAATGCATACAAAAGTATTTTTTCCAGTAAATACACATTCCTATGCTGCATTTGATTTTGAAATAAATACATTAACTTGACATCCAAAGAATAACTGATAAAAGATTTCATAGTATTGTAGTTAGTATATACCTGGTTGGAAATTTTATTACAAAAATCATGTGCATGTATGTGGCTTAACTGTATATATCTAAATCTATTTTCTTTTTCCACATTACTTTTGTCTCTCAATCACAAACACATCAGTTTCCTGTCATAGTCAGGAGGGAGGGCCTGGAGAAAAGTTCTTGCTACTGGATTTAATGTATGTGGGTTCTGACTCACCCTTAATATTTCACTTTCCGCAAAATCTTCCAGAAGTTTCCCTCTGATCGGGACCTTATCCCTTTCTCCTCCCAAGGCTCCCTGCTAAGTGATATCCAAGCTGCCATTCTAGATGTGTTCATCAGATGGCACGGACCTCCAATTCCTGAATTTTCCCCAGTGAAAAATATTATCTGGGAAAAGGAGAGAAGAATTGACAAAAAGTTAAAATTTGCACTGTGGGTGATGAAACAGCATGTAATATAAAATCATGCTCAAACTGCCTTACTTCATGATTTTCCTCTTTATGGTTTCACAGAGAGAAATCATAGTAATAATATCACACACCTCTTACAGGGCTGGTGGATATTATAGGCCTGAGGTGGGAGCAGAGAGGGCAGAAAGGGTTCAGAAACTTTCTACAATTGTCCTGTTAAGTATTACGAAGTTTTTCTCAGCATGCCAAACTGCTGTGTAAGGAGATTCCACACTGGATTTCCCAAGGGATGAACCAGGTTACAAGGTATTTCCTTCCTGCTGTATCTGGTTAGTCTCCACCCTCTCCTCTCCTGCTGGCTGATGCCTCCTTAGCTTCCAATCTCAGTTTAAGCATTCCCTTCCTGTGAGACGTCTCAGACACATCCTACTGGTTTGAATACCTTTAGGCATCTAGTAACTCCGTCACCCTTACCATCTCCAGATACACTTTTCATGTGAAAGGGGATGAAAGACCACGAGGTCAAACATTCTCATGGGCTGTGGCTTCTTCAGACAGTGGACTAAAGATTCTGAAGTTTTTAAAATATTTTACCTGACGATGTGCCACAGATTTGCTACTTCTACTTTTGAGGGAGATGTCCAGGACACAGGTCAGTTCAGAAATTGAACTGTAGAGTTGTTCCACAGAAAACAACTAGGGTGTGTACTTCAGAGAAGCTGTCGAGGCTGCAGTCTAATGCTTCCTTGTCTAAAAGATCCAATGAGAGTACTATAATGACAGTCTATGATTTTTAGGAGATATGGTTTTGCATGGTAGAGAACACATGAACCTTCCAGAATTAGAATTGTAAGTTAGAAAGTTGTTGTTTGTGGTGGCGGTGGTGATATTTTTTCAAATTGAAGCATAATTAACATATAGTATTATATTAGATTCATGTGTACAATATAATGATTCAACAATTCTGTACATTATTACTCAGTGCTTATCATAATATTGTCATTAAGTGAACCCTTAATGCCCTTTATGTATTTCACTCAACCCTCCACCCATCTCCTCTCTGGTAACCACCAATTTGTTCTCTTTATTTAAAAGTCTGTTTCGTTTCTTTCCTGTCCTTTTCTTTCTTTCTTTCTTTCTTTCTTTCTTTCTTTCTTTCTTTCTTTCTTCTTTCTTTCTTTCTTTCTTTTTCTTTCTGTCTCTTTTTGTCTCTAGTCATTTGTTTTGTTCCTTAAATTCTACCTATGAGTGAAATAATATGTTATAATATGTTATTTAGTAATATATTATAATTATATGTTATTTCTCTTTGTCTTTCTCTGACTGACTTATTTCACTTAACATTATATCCTCTAGGTCAGTCCATGTTGTTGCAAATGGCAAGATCTCATTCTTTTTTATGGTTGAGTGATATTCCATCACACACAAGCATACACACACACCATGGTATATACACCATATATACACCATATATTTTATATACATATCATACTGTGTATATATATATATATATATATATATATATATATGATGTGTGGGTATATATACTATA